TGATGCCATGATTTTTATTTTTATTTTGAAAAAAAAAAGATACAGTAGGCCACCTGGCACTTGACCCTACACCGGTAGATCCAGACCGGCACGGGCAGGGTGACATTTGGGGTAAATATCCCCCGCAGCGTCCGAAATCGACGAAAATTTCTGGCATTCCGAAAATGAAACAAAATGCCTTTATTAAAACGTATTAAACGGCACAGCAGTGCGTAAGGAATCTAAGCGACCGCAGAAAGTGTGAGGGCTTAGGTATTGATTTCCCAAACGCTGGAAACCAACAGCTGGGGCGTTCCACGACAGATCGACCAAGCCATAACACCCTACCTCTCAGATTTTGATGAAATTGCGTCTATGGGGTTATCCGTACCGTAGATTCATAATCTCTTATTTTTAGCGTTATACTACGAAGGGTTTACGAGTTATAGCCAGAGGCATTTTTCAAAATGCCCAGAGTAACCCTCTTTTAAACTCGTATTATCAAAAAATATAGCCAGTAACCTACATTAATATGCATATCATTGGAATCCTCATTGACAGTAGAAAATTATCTAACCAAAATATTTTGAAAATTTTCAAAATTGCAAGATTTTTTGAAATAATGAATTTTTGATTTTCGATTTTCAAAAGGTGGCCATTTAATTTTTGACAAAAATATTATGCCAAAAGATGCCTCTGGATATGGAAATTTAATGTCCAAAAAATTAGAGACATGTTTTGCCTTTAACTTTTTATATAATTTTTTGTTTACGACAATGTTTGTAATAAAAGGGAACATTTGGTGATGCCTTCCAGAGCCAATCATTCTCCTACCCACATATCCTCGAACTGTTTCATGAAAATTAGAAATAAAAGCCTGGCACTCACACTAACAGACCAGGCATGCGATTATTGAATGATGTTTGCTTCACTTTCGCTGTAGTTTCGAACATTGTTCAGGCAGGAAAAAAATTGAGCTGAACACTGCTAGGTATCGGCCGCCTCGCATGTAATTCTGATATGCTTCTAAGCAGCTTGCACTGATGAAACGTTACACTGGCGGATCCAGGGGGTAGGGCCATGCTCCCCCCAAAGCCCGTTTACCCCCCCCCCCCCGCAAAAACCCGAGTTTTAACATTGCGCGGGGCATGGAAAGGAAGGGGCCATTTCGGCCATTTGCCCCCCCCCCCCTCCGAAAAAAACGTCCGGCTCGATCCGCCAACGAAACGTTAGGAATTATCAAAATTGCTAATCGGACATTGTGGCCGGACATGCCTACACAACTTCCGTTCATAAGAGCAGAGGCTGTGTTAGAGTTAAATGAGGAGAAGGCTGAAGGCTCTAGCTAGTAATCGCATGAAGTTCGCTCTGTCCTTGTAATAACGGACTTTCAGTAATTTTGATGAATAAATTTGCCACAAAAAAAAATTGAGTACCAAAATGCGGCATTTGAAGGTAATTGATTGCAATTGCCAGGGGCGTGACCAGGTCAGAGTGGGCGGGGGTGAAAAAATTACAAGTACTTGAAAACTCGCCGATATTGAATTCTGTTTTCTTGAAACTGGAAGCATCTCTAACGTTTTGAAATTAATGCATTTCGAGGTAGCTAGTGGCTTGGGATGCTCCATGTTTCAGTAACATTCACTTTCATAGTAGGTTTTTATTCCCACCCGGCCGAAGGGGAGGGTTTGATGTGCACTGCAGCCCCAACGGTTTTCTCGATATTGTTTGCAGTGGTGTAAGGCTGGAGAGCTGAAAGTTGACATTCCGAATCTGTTGACACCAACAGAACAGGCTCAGGTCAGCTTACTGACATATGACGTCACAAATAAACCTCGGAATAATGCAAAAAGTTGCAGCTTTGCACTGTACTCTCAGTGTAAGGGAACCTTTTGCAGGGGATGACACTAGTAACGGCAGTAACGGCTCTTGAGATTTCACAACATCAATTCCCCTAACTTTCCTAAATTTTCACCCGAAGTCAAGCTTGTCACGTGACTTCACTAATATAAGTCAATGGGAAATATTGAAACATTTGAACTGTTATTTGGATGCCGAAAATGATCCAAGCCCATCTCAAACGCCTGTAATCGTGATTTCATATACACTTTTGCGATGAGCGATTCTTAGGTTTTGCATTGAGGACTTTGCAATGCGCCATATACATATGCCGTTACATTGTACGGTCGTGTGAGATCATCGGTTTTCTTTTTGTCAATGACTGAATGGAATTTATCTAACGAGTCGAATAAGCCACCAGTGAACTCAGGGAACCCTGCTGAACTGAATCATATACTTACAATAGCCGTTTTCACGACGGTTATCTGACACACATTAACTGATACCTATTTGATGGGATTTGGTCAAATTTGGTTCATAGTTGATTCTTAATTGTTTTTAGCTTAGGTTGCGCTAGTTGCTTATTGACCTTATTTATCAAATTATCAGTCGTTACTTTTTACTCAAGCATAAGAATAAAATTACGTTATGAAAATAGCTGTAGTAAAAGATTTGGCTAGATTCGTCTGATATCCGTCGTAAAAACGGCTGAAATGGCCTCATTTGAACAGCTTCTTGACCTCAGCGGTTTTGATGTGGCCTCGACCTGAGGAAAACATCTTAAGCTGACCTCTTCCAAACCAAGTTTTATCATTCCAGCAACCGGTGACCTCTGAGGTCAGGTCAAATGCCTTGAGGCAGGGATCCAATTTTCGGTCAATAAATCCCCTAAATGGTCGCAGAGCCGTCATTTCGTTATCTGGCAAAATATTTCAGGTCCCGAAACTCGTCAATTGAGATAATACCGACCTACGGCAAAAGTATCTGTCGATTCGACAGCTCATTCTCAGTACATTGATGTCCCTCCCCTCAATGTCGTCATTTTGTTAGGAATCTATTAACGAAAAACTCTCGACTCAATCAGCGTTAGTGACGTCATAAAGCGTCATTATGACGTCACGCAAGGCCCACCAGCAAAACTAAAGCATCGGACCTTGCAGAGAATGCGTGAATTAGATACGCTCTCTCCGTAAACTATTGTTTGGCGTTTCGCAATAGTAACATTTTTAAGCATTAGATAGGCTCACTTACGTGACGTCATAGTTCAGTAAAGTGACCTTATATGAAAGTTCATTTGATGTCACAAGATAAATCAACTAGATAACTTGTAATAACTTTCCGGTTTCAGCACTCTATCGCCAATGCGTCCCCAGCAGTGATGAGAAAACCGTCAAAGGTGATCAGCATTCGCTCCCTCGGCCACAGGGGGTTAAACCTCGCTCTCTTGAAAACAATACGCCATTATGACGTTTTTGGATCTTTGGGTCCTAACTTAGCTTTCGTAGGTGTCTTAAGCATCTTTAAAAAGAATTAACAGCGTCGCAATGAGCTCTTGATCACATTTCACCGTACTCCGTTTAGACCGGTTGACAGTTATTGTTATTTTTTTTCACTGTACGACGAAATTCAATGTTGTATAGCGACCTTTAGGGGAAAAACATGTTTTTAATATTTTCATCATTGAAAGTCAATGCGTTGACAAGACTTTTGCTGCAAAAATAAATTGTAAAAAAAGATGGCCACGTTCTCAAAATTTGATTTTTATAAATCAATTTTATGTTAAAAAATTAAAAGAGCAAAATTTTCAAAAATAATTGATATCACCAAAATCTTTGGTTAATTCTTATTGTGATGATATGCAGTTTTATATGAATCTAATCAGTATTTAGCTAAATATTTGCGGATGAAACTTAGAGTTTTTATGGTAGCCATTAAGTTGCCTGGGGCAATATCTCCCAAAGTATTCAACGAATGAGATTGAAAATGTCACAACACGAATCGCCGGACAAGATAACCCCATAGACGAAATTTCATCAAAATATGAGAGGTAGGGTGTTATTTCGCGATTTTTTTGGTCGATCTGTCGTGGAACGCCCCAGCTACCTGCATGAAAACAGCTCACCCTCCTAATGTCGGCGCTTGCCTAAAAAAGCTACTTGCCTGAAAATGACTCAAGAAACAGGCCACAGATCAATGAGAATGAGGGTCAGGGAACAGGGTAATTACATTTTCAGGAAATGTGTAGAATTGAAGAAATCACGAGAAAAACTACTAAAACTTTTGCCACGCTGGGAACTTTTTATGTGAGTTATTTGCAAAAAACCTAGGGGTGGGGTCTATCATACCCCTCAATAAGTGAGAGGGCTTATCGCTGCTAGTCCCAAACACTGGGAGAAAACTTTTACGTGCTAAAGCTCAGCCGCACTCTTATTTGACCGTAGAAAAATTTCCTCTTCAAGAATAAACCGTCTCCCCCCCCCAAAAAAAAACAACATAATACTTCTCCGTGTTGAACCGTAAGCGCTTCATTGATTGAGACTATACAGGGCTACCGTTCGGGCTGTTTCCTTCTCAAAGTGATGCCGCGTTCGGGCTTCAGTCAGCGTTCGATTATAAAATCTGCAATGTCTGACCTCATTCCGCGGCTCATCCTAGGCGGATCTGTAAAAAAAAACCTGTAGATAAGAAAGCAACGATATAAGAAAACTAAAATTAGTAACGTGGTGATCGTGGAGATATGTAGTCTGGATTGTTTGTTGAGTAAGCTTATAGTTAAATTTCCTCGTTTTTCTAAGTGATTTGCTTAACTGCGTACCCCCCCCCCCCAGTGACGCGATTTCAGCTCCACTGGGGCGGGGGGCAGCAGCCCCCCCCCCCAGTTAACATGTTAGAGGAGGCCCTGGCGTGATTTCTGTATATGCAGCTCTTACATTCAAAGACGCAAAATATTGAACGGAGGAGCAAAATGCCAAAGGAAATCCGACCGCAAGCTTGGCATGGAACATAGTATAAAAAATCATAGCATCGCAAAAACTGTGTGTGCAGGGGGTGACACCCCCGGTTTTCAAAAGTGGGGAGGTCGCGACCCCAACGACCCCGTTGGCAACGCCCGTACACTTTGGCCTAAGGCTAGTGACAGAAATAAGTTGCAAACCTTGCCGACCCGACCCGCTCGCCCTTACCTTGGCCGGCGTCTGTCGCAGCAATGCCAGAGCCTTGTTGTGTGAGACGTCTTGGAAGTTTTCGCTATTTACTTCGAGCAGCTGGTCACCGGGCTTCAAGCGACCATCCTTGGAGGCGGCGCTGTCGGGGTACACCTCATGGATGATAATGGCTCCCTGCAGCGGGGATGGGGGAGGAGAGTCGCGTCATTCGGCCGTCTTATTGAACACCGCTCATACTCATACTCATACTTGTATTGAGATAATCCATGGCTAATGATGGCTATTACCATCTCTTGTCAAGTCTTAAAAACATGTAAAACATAAAAACACATATCCAAGCACACTCGAGTGAGCATACACACTCACAAACGCACACACCCACATGTATGCCCGGACACTCTGTTCGTCAGTCTGGAGGTAAATGGCTAAGATGACGCTTGAGGTGGAGACCGAACGGCGGCACCGGCAGCTGGACAAGGTCGCGCGGCAGATCGTTATATAACGCTGACCCTCGGCAGGTAAAGCGGCGGCGGCCCATCTCAGTCCTAGACCGGGGCACTGACAGTAGATTGTCCTGCCGCGTAGTACGGCCACGCGCGGCAGGTGTTGCCGCGCGCGCCTCAGTTACAGTGGCCAGTCCAGCTGCCAGCTGCTCGGGCTCGCCAGAGCGCCGCGCACTTTATGATGTGTGCATAAGGTGTGGTAGGAGGCCATGCTCTCCGCGCTGAGCCAGCACAGTCTTTTGAGGAAATCTGAAACATGGTCGTATTTTCTACGGCCATAAAGCATTTTAGCGGGATAGTTAATAACTTTTGGAATCCGAGAATTGTTACTCTTTGTGCAATTTCCATAAACCGAGATGCAGTGCCGTAACTGAGAGATGACCAGGGCATAGATCAGCGCGGAGAGCACAGCCATGGGCAGGTGCCCCCACAGATGCGACAGACCAGTCAAAGCTCCAAAGCAGCGGCTAGTAATGATGGAGACATGGCGATCCCAGCTCAATGAAGGATCGAAATACAAACCCTAAGTTTTTTGCCTCGGGTTGGGGTCTCAGAACGTGTTCGCGATAGGTAACTGTGACGTTGTTTAAAATACGCAGATTTTGTGGGCTTCCCAACAGCATCAATTGTGTTTTGGCGGCATTCACTTTGAGCCCATGGCTCTAAACCAGGTGTCAAGAGAAGAAAGAGCATTTTCCATGCGGAGAAAGACTTGATTGATTTCAGATTTTTTTGCCGCTGACAAGAATTTGGGTGTCGTCCGCATATTGGATAACTGTAGCATCTCCAGCAAGATTCCAGGCTGAGATCGTTCGCAAAAATGCAGTAGAGCAAAGGACCGAGAGATGATCCCTGAAACACGCCTATGCTGTTGGGCAGCGGGGTGGGGGTCTGAACTCTGCCCCGGGCGTCAGTGAAGCTGACGCTCTGGGTGTGGTTTGATAAATAAGCCGAGAACCAAGAAGTATCAATGCCATGAAGATATAATTTTGAGGGGAGTTTTGAGTGGTCTATCACATCAAAGCACTTGGTCAAATCCAGCAGGCAGCAGGCTGCACACGGCCCCGGCCGGCAGATCGCCAGGGACTAGGGGAAGCCGGGGGAAGCCCGGGCGCGGGGGAAGCCCGGCCACCCCGTTTCCGGCTAAATTATTCACAATAAAATGCTCAACTGTTTGTCCCTTCAGCGTGGCAGCTAAGGTAACGCCAGCAAAAAAAGTTAAGGCTAACAAAAAATGCATATTGTTAAAGTTATAGAGCAAAAATGATATTTTTATTTTAAGGGTTTTTAGCTAAAAAGTAAGATATGTTGCACTGTTAGTGTTATACCATACAGTCCTAATATTTATACGAATGTTATATAAGGACCGTTTAAGTGTTTGTAGTGAGAGGTGACGAGGCAGGCTTTCTTAAGTGTGACATTTTTTTCGAACATCGCTGTTCTAAAATAAAAATGGGTGGCTATCAAAGCATACAAAAGCGCAGCGTACAATCCTCAAATCATACAAAATCGCAACATACAGCGCGCAAAACCTACAAAACAGGCCAGGTAGGGGACAGCCCAAACGTACAAAAGCGCAGCGTACAAAATCCTAACGTACAAAAGTTTACCGTCCAATGGGTAAAGCGTACAATGGCAAATCAAACAATGATCAGAACGTACAAAATTGGAACGTACAATGGCAGATCAAACAAACGCGTATCATACAAAATTGCAGCCTACAAAACGAGATGATCGTATCATACAAAATCGCATCGTCTAAAATCGGAAGGTACATAATGCCTCTGGTTGACGCCGGGTGAATTGATATTTAACAAGTCAGCCACTAGATGGGGTAATGGTGCTGTGGCAGTGGTTTTTTGGAAGCCACCAGGAAATAGAGTGGAATGCCACTAAGTCCCTTAGAAACACGATACCTCTGGACGCTGCACCGGCCGGCTATCGACGCTGCGGGCGGTCGGAGGGTGCCGAGGGGAATGGTTCCGAGCAGGCGGGAACACGATACCTCTGAACGCTGCACCGGCCGACTATCGACGCTGCGGGTGCCGCGTGGACCGGTGCCGAGCAGGCGACGAGGAGAAGCGGGCATCAAGACCGTGAGAAATCTATTATATTGGTGGGTGTGCATATGTAGGTAAATGAGGCAAACGTGCATAGATATGTAACACCTTCATCCTTGATCATACCCCTACCCACGCACTGCGGGGGGGGACTGTTTAAACAACCCCTCCGGTTTCTCGCGAATATCTAAAAAACGGCGGCTCAGAGTGCCGCCGTGTTTTGCACATCTTATCATACATCTTTTCTACACCTTCTGTAAAAACTTCAGACCAAAGTCATCCAAGGTCAGGTCACCATATCACGTCAAGTGACCTTACTACATGAAAAGTTTCAATGCCTGTCACAGCTACACCGAGTGACTGATCACTTTGAAACTTTGAGCAACTGATAAAACAACAGTATACACAATACACATAATGTATACAATAATTATAATAATGATACACAAAATGTATCTCTCGGAACTTCGATATCGGTGACCTAAGGTCAATTCAATTTTGCGACCTCTCCATTATAAGTCAATGGGAGAAAATTGAAAGGCGCCTCTTTTGGCCGAACGTCATTCTAATCACTTTCAAACATCGAATTACAAGTAGACATGACAAACTGAACCGGAAAATGGTACCCGTGACCCATCTTTATGTCCCTGAGGTCATCTCAGGTCACGAATGGTATCCTACAGTTTTTCGCAAATAACTTTTAACAGAGACATGCTAGAGCGATGAAAAAACCTTATATGTATGTGTTTGGCTCGACAATACGGATCGACTGATGCAGAATGACCTTTTCTGGTCAGGTCATGACATTGACCTGAGGTCATGACCTTGTCATGAGGTCATGACCTTGACCTAGGGTAATTTTTTCAAGTTGAACTTTTGAGGTCAACTTATAGTTCTTTTGATGCGTCGCCTTGACGAGAGGAACACGATGCTGCTGAAAGTAATCTCGTGCATGTTTTGAGTCAAAAGGTATTGCAGAAAAACAGTTCCCGCAAAAACCATCTACCTATTCTGGCAGTTTTTGGCCCCTGCACGTTAAACCGTTCCTAATCTATGCGCTGGTTTGTCGAAATTATCGAAGTTTGACCTGGAAAGTGGCGAAATTTTACCTTTGGTGACCTCTGTTGACCTGACCTTTGAGCTGACCTAAAATGTGGCCGATATAATTTCTTCATTACTTCTGCCGCTCTTTCGAACGCCGCCTACGGCGTGTAGCTACGTGGCCCAGGAGCCGAGTGAGAAGGGGGGTGTTCAACCCCCCCCCCCCCCCCCCAGTGCAGGTGGCGCCGAGCACCGGCCCGGCGCCGGTTAGTCAATCGCATGGCGTTTAACATAACGGTACATCATCGGTGTTTAACCCGCGCCCTGCTGGGGAGGGAGGTGTTTGAACACCCCCCCTGTGTTTTTCACAAATATCTCAAAACGGCAGCGCGGAGCGCCGCCGTTTTTGGCACACCTTATAATACATTTTGTACATACTATTGCTCTTAGCAATCGTTGAAACTTTCGAAGCGATCGGTCACTTGGTGTAGCTATGGCGGACATTGAAACTTTGCATGAGGTGAGGTCACTTCAAGTGACCTGGTGACCTGACCTTAAATGACCTTGGTCTGAATTGTTTAAAAACATGTGTAGAATTGATGTATTATAAGGTGTGCCAAAAACGGCGGCGCTCCGCGCTGTAAACTATACTGAGATAAACTCTGCATATCTCAGAGTTTTGATATCGATGACCAATGGTCAGGTCAATTTTGCGACCTCCCCATTATAAGTCAATGGGAGAAAATTGAAAAGCGCCTCTTTTGGACCAAAGCCATTATAAACACTCCCAAACACTGAATTACAAGAAAATACTGGCGCTCGATGGATGAAGAGCACGAGTCTGATGGATGGATGTCGTCCGGCGGCCGCGACGCGTCGCCGCGGTGGCGGTCTGGTGGTGATCGCCCCTGGCGTGGCCGCGGGCGCTCCCCGTCCGGCCGATCGCCGTCCGGGCGCGGCGCGCGGAGACCGAGCCGCGTCCCCGCTGGCAGGAGCCCGTCGCCTGGTGGGAGCCGCGGAGCCGACCGCGGGGAGGAGCGCCCCGGGCTGCGCGGCGGCGGAGCGGATCGGAGCAGCGACTTCGCGGGGGAGCGGCGCGGCGGCCGGGAGGGTCCTGCCCGGGAAGGTGAGCCGTATCGTTCCAGCTCGCCCGCTGGCGAAGCTCGCGTGCCTCGATGTTGGTCCTGTCGCGGCTGGGGACATCTCAAACGGCACTGCCCAAACGGGCGGGTGGCGGACGGGTGGTAAAATCGCTCCCTGTTGTCAGCACCGTCATAAATGGCTTCCAGGTACACGATTGTCTCATTGACTCGGGAAGCCAGATGACTCTTATTGACGCTAGGGTGCTGAACACGATCTCGCCTAACATTGAGCTGAATAAGCCTGTCCGCCTCGTGTCTGTTTCCGGACACAATCTTGATGTGATCGGTACCTGTTCCTTGAACATTCAGATGAGTGGTACTCCGACCTGTGTGTGGAGCTGTTGTGTTGTTAATGATTTGTCTCACGATTTAATTTTGGGTTTTGATTTTTTGCAGGCGCATCACGTTATTGTAGACTGTTCTCCCTC